ATCCTGCTTTGGTATGGATGGAGAAGGGAAGAGCAAGGCCAGGACTGTGCGGCCTGCGTGCTTCCCCTGCAGATAGATCACACTGTACCTGAAGACTTCCCTGGACCATACTCAGATACTGAGCTCTCCCTAGAAGAGGGGAGACACTAGCACAGGAGGATGCTAGTTCATCATTCAAACTATCAGGAAGGAATGAAACCAGAAGTTCTCTCAAGTCTATCATTCAGGGCAAAAGGGATCCAAGACAAAAATTGGGGTGCTGTGAGTCTCAGGAGGAGAATGCAAGGATCTTAGCTAAGAGGTCTCCATCTCTGGTGTCTGTTCAGCTTAACGTCCCTGAGAGAATAACTTGCCTCCTTCCTGGGGTACTCAAGGGTGTCCCTGGAGACGGGGCCTAGAATGACAGAGTGCACTTGAGCTCACTGTTTTCCCGGAAAGGGCATCAGAGCTCTTGCCCGACACGTGCTCTCCCTGAAACACGCGTGCACCGAAAGTTCAGTCACGAGCCCGTGGCTCATGCCTATAATCCTAGTTACTTAGGAGGCTGAGATCTAAGGATTGAGGTTCAAAGCCAGCGTGACAGGACAGTTCAAGAGACTCTTATCTCCAATGAACTAGCAAAGACCTGGAGGTGGAGCTGCAGTTCACATGCTAGGAGCACCAGGCTTGTGGGAAAAAGTCAAGCAAGAGCTAAAGACTCTGAATTCAAGCTGCAGCACTGGTACCAAAGAAGAAGAAGCACAGCTGTAGATAATTTGCTTATAATGGTCCTTTATTTTATAGTTTGTTACGTTTTATTTAGAACGTTTGCTTGTTGGGGGTGAGGACACGTGTGGGGGGTGAGGGGTATGTGTCTGTGAGTCCTGGGGCTTGAACTAGGGTCTGGGTGCTGTCCTTGAGCTCCTTTGTTCAAGGCTAGTGCTGTACAATTTGAGCCATGGCTCTACTTCTTCAACTTTTCTGCCTAAGCTGGCTTTGAACTGTGATCCTCAGATCTCAGCTTCCTGTGTAGCTGGGGTAACAGGGGTGAGCCAACATCACCGGGCAGAACATCCTTCTAACAGAGCCAAATAGTCAGGACCTGCATTCTAATCATCAACCTTAGGAGCAGAAACCCAAAGCAAAGAAAAAACGAAAAGGTTCCTTACAAGAGGTATTTCTTTAATTCACTGAAGACTTAATTTCACTTTTTCTTTTTCTTCTTCTTCTTTTTTTATTGTAAAGATACTGTACAGAGGAGTTACAGTTATATGGGTAAGATAATGAGTACATTTCCTATCAGGCTTTGTTACCCCCTCCTTTGTTTTTCCCCTACCATCCCTCTTCTTCTTCTTCTTCTTCTTTTTCTTCTAGAATAATCAGAGTCATGCTTGAATTTAAAAAAAAAAAAAAAGAATAATCAGAGATTCTTTCTGGAAGAGACGTTTGAGTTCTTTCTGAATCCACAAGAAACCTTAGGATTCCTAGTAGATAAAGACTTATTTTTCTTCTCTCTCTCTCTCTCTCTCTCTCTATCTATCTATATATATATACACATACATATATATACATATATGTATGTATGTATGGTCAGTCATGGGGCTTGAACTCTGGCTCTGAATGCTGTCCCTCAGCTCTTCAGCTCAAGGCTAGCACTCTACCACTTGAGCCACTGCAACACTTCCATTTTTCTGAGTGGATTATTGGAGATAAGATTCTCCTGGACTTTCCTGCCAGGCTTTGAACTGCAGTCTTCAGATCTCAGTCTCCTGAGTAGCTAGGATTACAGGCATGAGCTACCAGCGCCGAGCTTCTCATATTCTTTTCTGCCTACCTTCCCACCATCTAATGGCTGGTTTTGAACCACAGTTCTCAGATCTTAGCCTCCTTAGTGGCTAGGATTACAGGCGTGAGCCATGTCTATATTTTTTGTGGAAAATCTCTTCCTCCCAAAATAGTTTTTATTATTGTCTCTATCAGATAGTCTTTATGTTATTAGAAGATATTCTAAGATCTACATGTATAAGATGTATTTGTCTAATATATAGCTTAGAATCTCTGTATAAAACACATATAAATGATAGATATTTTGCCATTAATGCAGGAAAAAGTGTTAATTAGCCATTAATGCAGAAAAAGTGTTAATTAGCAGTAACATAAATGAAAGCAGTCTGTTGTTTAATTAATAGAAAAGGTAACATAAGTCAAAGCAGTCTATTATTACAGTCTTCAATGTCTCTCTCTCTCTCTTTCTCTCTCTCTGTCAGTTGTGAGGCTTGAACTCTGGCCTGCGCGCTGTCCCTGAGCGCTTTAGCTCAAGGCTAACACTCTACCACCATTGAGCCACTGCACTACTTCTGGTTTTCTGGTGATTAATTGGAGACAAGCGTTTTATGGACTTTCCTGCCCTGGCTGGCTTTGATCCTCAGATCTGAAGCCAGATCTTGGCCTCCTGAGTAGCTAGGATTATAGGTGTGAGCCACCAGCCACCAGCTCTAATCTTTAATCACCAATACAGGTACTCTAAAAGAATGAATTTATTTACAACAAACGTGACTTACAACTTGCAGGTATGAAATGGTTTATTTGTGATTTACTTTTCTTTCAAAAATTTCCTTTCTTCAGATCTAATGGTTTCTAAGGCTCTGAGTCTTATTTTTTTTAAAGTCTGTTATAGATCAGAGCATGGTAGAGGTTCAAAGTTTGGGGGTATGTGCATGCGTGTGTGCGTGTGTGTGTGTGTGTGTGTGTGTGCGCGCGCGCCAATACTGGGGCTTGAACTCAGGGCTTAGGGGCTGTCTCATAGCTTCTTTGCTTAAGTCTGGTGTTCTACTGTTGGAGCCACAGCTCCACTTCCAGCTTTTCAGTGGTTAGTTGGCAATAAGAGTCTCATGGATTTTCCTGCCTGGACTGGCTTTGTACTAGAATCCTCAGACTTCAGTCTCCTGAGTAGCTAGGGTTACAGGCGTGAGCCACCAGTGCCGAACTAGAGGGTGACATTTCTGAGGGCTACTAGCACTCAGATAGCACCATGCACATAGATGTAACATTGAGAAGTTCTGGTATGTTCAAGGGAATTTGTGGAAATTCCCAGATACTTCTGTGTTCTTGTGGGAGGAAGCCAAGTGTTTCAGAGTATGGAGTTTAAAGTGATCAATGCGGGGGGGGGGGGGGGGGGGGCCACTTCTGAGAGAGGAAGTCCCACCCGCAGCTGCAATTTGGGGGAGGGGAGTGGAGAGCCAGGTGGTTAAGAGGACGCTATTTAGCTCAGCCTGGTTAAAAAGTGGAGCGTTGGCCGGGCTGGACAGAAGTCAGACTGCCTGATCATCTCAGATCTGTGAACATCCACCGGCCTTCTAGAGAGTAAACAAACCTACCAGCAGGGTTTTCTAGAAGCCAGACAGCGCAGGCTTTCCCGCTGGTTCCTGGGGCCGGCACCCGGGTCAGGGCGCGCGGGCGCTGACTGCTGGGCGGGGAGGGAAGCGGGTTTCTTCCCTCCAAGGCGCCGGGAAGAGTCACGGTTTCCCTTTGGGACGCAGAGAGTCCTGTTGCCTCCTCTAGACAAAGATGCTAACTCTGTTAAGTGAGGGCTTGTGGAGAAGGAAAGATGGCTCACACCTGGATCCGCGCGTGCAGGCCGAAGGGCAGCGCCGCGGATCCCGGACACGGCCCAGACCCGGGCCAGCCGCGGCCAGCTGCTGTCCAGCAGCAAGACGGAGCCGGCGCGGCGGCCACACCTGCCACCTGAGCTACTCAGGAGGCTAAGTCAGACCTGAGGACCCAAGCTCAAAGCCTCTGAGCCTTCTGATCTCTGAACAACCAGCAAAAACAGTTGGAAGTGGAGGTGTGGTTCAAGTAGTAGAGCACCTGCCTTGGGTGAAAAAGCCAAGAAAGAGCGCGAGGCCCTGAGTTCCAGCCCAGGGCTCACATGCACACACCATTTAAACACACACCATTTACACACACACACACACACACATCTATGTGCATATAGATTTATGTGATGAAGCACAAAAGCAGACGTGCACCCCCCCCCCCCCGCCTGCAGTCCGGCGGCGCTGGCTCCCCGGGGACGGGGCGGGCTGTGAGCAGGGCGAGCCGGGCCCCGACTCAGCGCATCCCGGGCAAGAGCCGGCGGGGGAAGAATCCCAGGGCGCAGGGCGCCCACGCGAGTCTGGTACTGGCTCCTGGAACGGGCCGTGGGGTCGCGGCGCGGCCACGGGCTGGTTAGCTGCCCCGATCCTGGGGTCGCTGGCTGCCCCGGTCGCGGCGTCTCTCGTGGCCCCGATCACGGGTCGTGGCGGGCACCGTCCGCCCTGGAGGTCTCCGCCCCGGCTCCTGGGCGCCCGCGCTCCGCGGCCAGGGCTCCTCAGCCTCCTCCCGGCCCGCCAGCGGCGATCGCGGCCCCTCGCGGCCGGGGCCGGCCGGGGCCCAGGGGAGGCGGCGGTGCTCCCCAGAGCGCGGGTCCGGGCGGGCGGCGCAGGGCGGGGCCCAGGGAGGCGGCGGGGCGCCCCCGGCCGCGGAGCCCGCCCGCCCGCCCGCCCCGCCCGCGCCCCCCGCCCGCGCGCCCGCCGCGCCCCGCGCTCCTCGGGCGCCACCTTGGTGCGGCTGCTCACTCGGGCGCAGGTCCGGCCGGGAGCGTGTGAACCTCTTCTCCGCCGCCCAACCTGCCGGGCCGGGGACGGGACGGGAGCGGAGCGCCCGGGGAGCCCTGAGCGCGGGACGGCTGCGCCCTGCCGGCCGTGCCTGGGGACCCGGGACCTGGGGGCCGGGGTCGGGGATCGCGGCGAGTCCGGAGCTACCCAGCGCGCAGCCCGCTGTCCGCGCCGCCCGGGAAGCGGGGTCGCTCGGTCTGACCGCGCCGTGCCGCCCGCGGTGCCTGGAGACCCGGGGCGCTCGACCCGCGCGGCGCTGCCCGCGGAGTTAGGGTCCCGCGCCGCGCTGCGGGAGCCGGGGCCGCTCCCGGCCCTACGCCGACCGCCCGGGACCCGGACCCGAGCCCGCGCCGCCCGTCCCCGTGGATCGCCTTCCGGATCCCCCCGCCGCCCCAGGTACGGTCGGCCCCGGCGGGACGCGGACTGCGGGGGTCAGAGCCGCGAGCCCCACGCGGGAGGAGTGCGCGCGGGGCCGTGGGGCGCGCGGGGGCGCGGGACCCAGCTCCGCGCCGGGCGGCCCCTGCGGGGACGCGTCTCTCCGTGGTCTCTCTATAAGTTCCTTCCTCTGTTTGGGGATCCCCTCTTTCTATCTGTTTTCTGTGGTTTGGGAGACGCGCGGTTGGACTGGCGAAGCCCCGAGGGAGCGGGAGCGGGAGCTGTCGGGGGATTCCGTGCTCGCCCCTCCGCTCTCCGCCGTGGACGCCCGGGGAACGCCGGCGATCGGGGCCGGGGCTGCGGGCGGGAGCCGCGGGCGCGGCGGCGGCGGCGGGCCGAGGGCAAGGGCTGACGCTCCGCGCCCCGCCGCGTTCGGTTCCAGGTCCGCGGGAGGAGGAGAGACGATGCTGCGCTCGCTGGTCCGGCGCTGGAGCGTGGCGGTGTTCCTGCTCAGCTACTACTCCGTGCCCTGCTGCGGGCGCGCGGTGGACGGGCTCGGCCGCCGGCTGTGAGTACCCCACCCCTCCCGGGCGCCGCCTCGGACGGGCCAGCGGGGCTGCGGGCTGAGGGACTTAAAGCGGTCCCCGACGCTCCCGGCGCCGGCAGAGAGATGGGTCGTCGAGCCGCCCGCCGGGAGACGCAGAGGGAAGAGCGAGGAGAGAGCGGGGTGACCCAGATCCTGGGGTGCCTCTGTTATTTTTCCTTTCGGAGTCTCCCTGAGGGAGGATGGACTGCTCCCCGGGAAGACTTGGGAATGCAGAGGAAGTTGAACCCCCAGAACTTAGGCCTTTGCACATGGATATCATACTGCACCGTGGCTGCTTGTTGGGGTGGGAAAAGCAATGCCTCGGCATCTAATTGTATAGATGAATGACATCATTTGTTTAAAGCATATAAACTGGACCGTATTATATAACGAAGGCATATTATATAAGAAAGTAGCCAGCACTTTGACTATGGCTCAGATTCAAGAAGGTCAGGGCGCTGGGTCCCACCGCAAACGGTGGGTGCACGAACTTGCTTCGAGCGATGGCTGACAGGCAACAAGTATTTTTGCCCTGTGCACTGAGCGCTTGGGCTTTTTTTTTACTTTCTCCATTGGTGGTTCTTTGAAGGGTAATTTGACTTTGAGACGATCATCTATCTAAGCACACCAGGGAAATATTACTTGGGTGTAACAATTGAAAAATGGGAAGAGAGCTAGAGTAACCCTGTCTTAATTATCTGTGGGACTGGCAGCTCATTAACTTGTGTGATGCCATCTCTGGGCAATCTTGAAGAATCGGTCTCAGGACTCAGGACAGGAAAAGCATAAGCTTTAAGAGCCAAGAACGTTGGGCGCTGGTGGCTCATACCTACAATCCTAGCTACTTATGAGGCTGAGATTTGAGCGTCGAGGTTCAAAGCCAGCCCGGGCAGAAAAGTCTGTGAGACTCTTATTTCCAATTAAGAAGCAAAAAGCCAGAAGTGGAGCTGTGGCTTAAAGTGGTAGAGTGCCAACCTTGAGTGAAAAAGCTAAGGGACAGCGCCCAGGCCCTGAGTTCAAGACCCAGTCCTGGCACATATGGAAGGAAGGGAGGGAGGGAGAGAGATAGGGAGGGAGGAAGTAAGGGAGGGAGGGAAAGAAAGGGAAAGAGAAGGAGGAAGGAAAGAAAGGAGGGAGGGAAGTAAAAGAAGGGAAGAAAGAAAAGGAAGGAAGAGTTAAGGAGAACTTTTTCACTTAATAAAAGTAGAAATAGCTAACATTCATAATTGGGGTCACGATGCTTTCTTCTAAATTCTCGAGGATATAGGAAAAAAACAACTGTTTTTAAGTGGCCCTTGATTTAATATTATTATTCTTAAAGGGGAAAATCCTTAAATGAAATTATTTAAGACATGTCTGAACTTTGGTTGAAATCTATTAAAAAGCTCCTAAGGCAAATTGTCTAAAACTTTATACTCAAAGATAAAGGGTCATTGTATTCTCCAAATCAATGTTTATACTCACTTATTTCTATAAGTTGTCCTCAGACTTCTTGCTTTATTTCATGACTTGTATTACATTCAATTATTTAACACACAAATCGAAATATAGATGAAGACTGAAAATTTAAAAGCACACTTACATACTATATTTATTTGGCTAAGAAATACTATCTTGAAGTACCGCCAATTTTTTCAGAGGGTACTCAAGAAATGCTTTTTTCCTCTTTTGAGAAATAGTAAGTGAGCCACAGTTAAATCTACAATTCTAGCATGTGAAAATGGTTCTAAGTTTGTCTTGATGGCTACTTTTTTAAAATTATTCCTTTGTTGTACCTTGCAAAAAAATAAAATAACCCACCCACATTAGAAACCCATTTAGCAGCCAGGGTTTTGATTGTGGGTGAAATATAATATTGTAGTTAAACACTCAACAGATGGTTATAAATCACCACAAAACACCCTCATCGTTTATGCTGATAGATCACCAGGTTCCAGCCCCGATGCTTCATACAACAGAACTCATCAGCAGATGAAGAGATTTCATCAAATTATCACAGCCAAAGGGAGTTTAAAAAAAAACATTATTTTTGTCTCTCTGCCATGTAACAGTAAATTCTGAGCAATAGACAAAACATTCATTTACTGTACATGAAGTCAGGCTAGTGCTGTGTGTGTGTGTGTGTGTGTGTGTGTGTGTGTGTGTGTGTGTGTGTGTGTGTGTGTGTGTGTGTGTGGTATGGTGTGTGATGCTACTGAGACTTGAATTTGGAGTCTCATACTCTCCTTTAGCCATTTCCACTCAAGGCTGGCACTCTACCACTTGAGCCACACCTCCCCTTCCAGCTTTTTGGTGGTTCATTGGAGATGGGAATCTCACAGACTTTCGTACTGGGCTGGCAATTACTGGGATCCTCAGATCTCAGCCTCCTGAGCAGCTAGGATTACAGGTAGATTACAGGCATGAGCCACTGGCCTCTGGTCAGAAGTTACTTAAAAAAAAGAGACATAGTACTGAGATTGTACTGCCTATGCCACATCAAAGAGGTAATTACAAGTTGTGAATTTTCTGGACCTCTTAGTCGAAAAGATTTTATTTCCGGGGTGTAGAGCTTTGACCGAGTTGGAGACTGGAAAGAAAATGAGGTCTTTGAATTCATTTGGGCAGATGAATAAGGCTTGGCAGACAGGTGGCTAGCTCTGGGTTTAAGTGAGAGAGGGAATCGCAGCAGATTGAGGCAGAAAGCATCGTTGGCTGCCTGGCTCCAGAGCCAGCCCGGGTCTCTCCCACTTAATGAAAAGCGTAACTTTCAGCTGACTCATACAAATTGGAAGGGCCTCTGAGTGAATCATCTCAACTCTTAACACCCTAACCCTGTCTCCTTCGTGTATCTCGGAACTTTCTCAGACTCAGAGTCTTGTCTTGGGAGTTTTGCATTAACACTCATGCTGTTCTTTCCTGTGCAGGAAGAGAAACTTTCATGACTCTTTATTCTTTCTGTTCCTTGAAAGTTCCTTAGAAATGCAGTCTTCTTTCCCCACTCTGGAAAATCCCCCATAAGTGGAGGAGGTGGGGTGGGGGAGGTGTGCATGCACACACATGCATGTGCCTGCCAGTACTGGGGGCTTGCACTCTGGACCTAAGCAGTGTCCCATAGCTTTGTCCCCCCTGCTCAAGGCTGGTTCTCTACCACTTGAGCCACATCTCCACTTCCAGCTTTTTTTTTGCAGCTTGATTGGAAATAAGAGCCTCTTGGGTTTGTCTGACCCAGCTGGCCTTAAATGGCGATCCTCAGATCTCAGTCTCCGGAGTAGCTAGGATGACAGGCATAAGCCCCAGGTGTCCTTAGAATTTTTAATTTAAAAATTAACAGCTGCGATTTGACTGAATTTAAAATTGTGTGAAATGTTTCCTTTAAATGTTTGATGGGTTTCTTTTTTCAAACAATAATCACGTGGCACCAGACAAAATGACATATTTCTTTTTCTCAGTTAGGGCCCAGGTGTGTCATAAATGCCAGGTGAGCAATTGGGCTACTTTTCATGTTTGCAGATGAGTTGAAAAACCAACTATTTTTTATACTCTATTTACAACTTAAATAGAGAGTTATCTAATTGAAAACCCCCTTAATTTTGAATTGATTACTCACCTCGAAGGTGTATCGAGTTTGTACATGCCCAGGATTTCTCCTTATGTCAATTCATGCCTTGTTATGGAAATAAAGAGAATATTTTATGGTCCTCCTTCCCTGTTGATGAGAAAGATACGATTGTATTCCTGACCCTCCCATGCAATTTCCCAATCAGAGGTTTGTGCTTCACAGGATTTTAAAGACCAGCCAGGACACCTGTGGCTCACGACTGTAATCCTAGCTACTCAGGAGGCTGAGATCTGAGGATCTCAGTTTGAAGCCAGCCTGGGCAGAAAATAGATACTTATTTCAATTAGCCACCAAAAAAAATCAAAAGCTGAGCTTGAGCTGTGGCTCAAGTGGTAGAGTGCTAGCCTTGAGTAAAGAAGGCACAGTGCCCACACCCTGAGTTCAAGTCCCAGTACTGGCGCACGCGCATGCGCGCGCACACACACACACACACACACACACACACACACACACACTACTTTAAAGGCAAAAGTCTTAAAAATACTAAATAACCTTGTGCAATTGTAACCCCTTTGTCTAACTACTTAAAATAAAAAAGTAAAAAAAAAAATACTAAATAGCATGGCTTAACAATATTTCATATTTTGTTTCTCAACTCTTTATGTTTTCCAATATTCTAACAATTTCTTCTAAAAGATGGACGAAAAGCTTTGTACCTTGTAAAAGATGCACTATGCTATTTTATTAATTTTACTTATTGTGCCAATGCAGGACTTGAACTTGGCCTGGGTGCTATCCTTTTACCTTTTTCAAGTCTGGAACTCTTACCACTGAGCTACACCTCCACTTTTGGCTTTTTGGTGGTTAATTGGAGAGAAGTTTCCTGCACTTTCTACCTGGGCTGGCCTCGAACCCTCAGATCTCAGCCTCCTGAGTAGCTAGGATGACAGGCGTGAGCCCCCAGAACCAGGCTGAAGATGTACTCCTTTTAAATAAGACAGAGTTGTGCTGTGTCTGCTTGTTATAGAGCACAAGGAGAGAATGAGTATTGCATTCCCAGGAGAGTCACCCTGGGAACATGTGTCTCCTGATTTGAAAAGACACCAAAATTTAGCAGGTGACTGCCAGGCCTCAGAGCCCTTAGCAGCTGGCTCTGAAAGGACCAATGCTCACATTCTGGCTCTAAGGTGAGCTAGAATGGACCGCTTAGTTAATAAGAGCGAGACACAAATATAGATATGTAGGCCAGGAACTGAGAAAGAAAACCTTCCCTCATAGCAATTATTATTACTGGAGATTTTTTTTTTAACCAGGTGCTCTGGATCACACCTTTAATCCTCATTGCACAAGAGGCAGAATTCTGAAGAATAAGGTTCGAAGCCAGCCCAAGCAGGAAAGTTTGTGAGACTCTTATCTCCAATGAAACGCCCAAAAGCTGGAAGTGTAGCTGTGGCTCAAGTGATAGAGGGCTAGCCTGAGTACAGAAGCTAAGTAAGAGCTCAAGGTACTGGGTTCAAGCCTCAGTACTGGCCAAAAAGAGTTTTGCTTTTTTTTAATGTCACATTTTTGTAAAAGATATTTATTAAATTTTATTTCTTATGAAACAGGCTATCATATATACCATCAAAAATGCTATTAAAGGGTAAATACATTGTACTCATACCTCCAATTTGCAGATTATTAAGTTTCCAGAATACTGTTGCCAGAGTAAGTGAATTTTCATCTAGTCACTGTGGCTCCCTCAGAAACAAAGCAGCTCCTCCCACCCATGTAAACCAGGCTCCTGTTAGATTCCTATCCAATAAGTCATGTCTGTGTCTGTGTCTGTATGTGCGCGTGCGCGCATGTGTATGCATGCCAGTACTGGAACTTGAACTCAGGGCCTTGCACTCTCACTGGGCTTTTTCTACTCAAGGCTAGCACTTTACCACTTCTGGCTTGTTGGTGGTTAACTTGATCGGAGAGTTTCACAGACTTTCCTGCCTGGGCTGGCTTTGAACTGCGATCTTCAGATCTCAGACTTCTGAGTCACTGTGATTACAGGTGTGAGCTGTTGGCTGGCACTTTAGAGATAAGAGTCTCAGCCTTCTCTGCCCAAGCTGACTTCAAACCTCCAATCTCAATCCTCAGATCTCAGTCTCCTTGAGAGACTGGGTTACAGGTGTGAGCTACTGATCCCTAGGAAACCGTAGCAATTGACACTGGAAAAGCAACCCCAGGCTGGCCCTCCTCATCTCCTGCCCCAACTGTTGCCCTCTGTCTGGATCTCGGAGGGTCGTGGAGCAGCCACTCCTCTGTCTCCATGTGTGAGTGTACCCCCAGGGCCACACTAACATGTATTCTTGTTGTCACAGCAAGCGGGCTGTGTCAGAGCACCAGCTTCTCCATGACAAGGGCAAGTCCATTCAGGACCTGAGACGCCGCTACTTCCTCCACCATCTCATCGCCGAGATCCACACGGCCGAGATCAGAGCCACTTCAGAGGTGTCCCCCAACTCTAAACCTCCCCCAAACACCAAGAACCATCCAGTCCAACTTGGAGGCAGCGACGAGGGCAGATACCTAACTCAGGAAACCAACAAGGTGGAGCCTTACAAGGAGCAGCCCCTCAAAACCCCTGGGAAGAAGAAGAAAGCCAAGCCTGGCAAGCGCAAAGAGCAGGAGAAGAAGAAAAGAAGAACTCGATCTGCCCTGAGGGACCAAGGAGCCACCAGCATGGAGTTCGAAGGGGCCCACCACACTGACCCCTCAGCCACGTGGCTGCAGCTCCATTCAAGGTATCAGTTCTCTGGGCCTGGTTTCACCTGGGTCTGCTCTGGCTTTCCATTCTCCCCTCTGCCTTGCCTGGGGCAAACCCAAATTGTTCTTTCTTTCTGAGTCTCCATCAACTGCCACGCACCTGAAAAGCAGACAAAAGCCAAGACTAGCCTGGTGCTGGTGCCTCACACCTGTAATCCTAGCTGCTCACAAGGCTGAGATCTGAGGATTTGGTTCAAAGCCAGTCCAGGCAGAAAAGACTGTGAGTGTGTGTGTGTGTGTGTGTGTGTGCCTGCATGTGTGTGTGCGTGCACGTGTGCACACACACATGTATGTACATAGGTACTGCGGCTTGAACTCAGGGCCTGGGCACTGTCCTGTAGCATTTTCACTCAAGACTGGTACTCTACCATTTGAGCCATAGCTCTAATTTTAGAAGATGCTTGAATAAGATCTACTACAGACACTGCAGGAAAGCATCTCCAGAGCCAGCCATGCATCATTGAATTTCAATTCCAAATTATTTGTATTTAGAAACATTAAGTTTCACCCGGCACTGATGGCTCACTCCTGTAATCCTAGCTACTGTGGCCGAGATCCAGTTCAAAGCCAGCCTAGGCAGGAAAATCTCTGAGACTCTTATCTCCAATAAACTCCTCAGAAAAAATTCCAGAAGTGGCAATGTGTCTCAAGTGGTAGAGCACTAACCAAAGAGGCTCAGGGACAGTGTCCAGGCCCCAAGTTCAAGCATCAGGATTGGCCAAAAACAAAAAACAGAAAACGTTTTGATGTTTGTTTTTTGTTGTTTGGAACCTGGTTTTGAATTCAATTCATCACTCCAGGCTTTCTATCCTTTGAGCCACACTCTCAGTTTGATTTTCTTTAGTTATTTTTCAGGTAAGGTCTTTCATCTCTTGCCTGCAGAGTCTGAACTGAGATCTTCCTGCTTTACACCTCCATGTAGCTGGCATGACAGTTTGTACCACCATGCTCAGCTTTTTATGGGTTGAGGTGGGCTCTCAAGAATTTTTTGCCCTGTTTGGACTCAGACGTTATTTTCTCAGTTCGTCTCTGCCTCTCCAGTAGCTAGGACCATAGGCATGAGCCACTGTGACTGGCACATTAAGTTATTTTTGAACATATGTTCTAAATATGTTTTAATTTTTAATTAGATTTAACTCTGGTTTTCACCAGCTCATGAAAAATGAATCATTTGTGAACATTTTAAGTATTGGTTTGAGAAATATTAAGGTTTTCTCATATGTCTGTTTGTTCATTAGCAAGCTGACATAATTTTTCCAGAGAAATGCAGTAGAAATGTAACTTGTTTTATTCACACTTGAGTGGTTAATCATCCTTAGTTCAGAGATCAAGAAGTAAAAAATTCCTAGCCAGAAGCAGGCAGCTCACACCTGTCATCCGAACTCCTCTTGAGGCTGACATCTAAGGATCACAGTTTGAAGCCAGCCCAGGTAGACAAACACAAGTGAGTTATAACAGGAAAAACCTGCAAGTGGAAGTGTGGCTCAAGTGGTAGAGTGCCAGCCTGGAGTGGAGAAAGCTAAGCAACAGAGTGAGGGCCTGAGTTCAAGCCCCAATACCAGCAGTAAAGAGAATGTATATATGTATGTATGCCTATACATACATATATATTGTATACAAATGTTTATATGTGTGCATATGTATGTATGTATTTATTTATATATATATTGGCATGTAGACAAGGTGAAAATTTTTAAATATATTTTCCTGGTCCAGTAATTTATTTCCTTTTTCTTTCTCTTTGGGAAAACAATTGTTCCAAACGCTATTTCTTCCCATTTTTATTCTTAAACTCAGTCAATGAATATCATTTAGTAGAAACACAGAGAGTAACTTACTGACTTATTTTGTTTCTTGGGTCAGTACTGGGACTTGAACTCAGAGCCTACACACTGTCCCTAGGCTTTCCCTTATGGCTCTATCATGTGAGCCACACCTCCACTTCCAGCTTCGTGATGGTTAATGGGACATAAGCATCTCCCAGATCTGCCTGCCTGGTCTGGCTTCGAACCATGACCCTCACAGCTCAACTGCTTGAGTAGCTGGGATTACAGGTGTGAGCCACCATGCCCAGTGATATAGTTTTTATTTTGTGTCTTCCCATTTTGAAGAAAAATTCACCTGTTTTCTTTTTCCTCTTCTTCCCCTTCCTTCTCTTCACAGGACATACTGAAATTTTCAGCCGAAAACTTCCAAGGACGAATTACAGGATTTTGTAATAGTAAACATATGGAAAGTATTAGAAATATTTATTATCTGTAAATACTGTAAATGCATTAGAATAAAGCTGTCATCTCCATTACTGCTCCATGAAACTGCACATTGGCCATTGTGAATATTTTATTTTTGCCAGGGCTAATCCGATTATTAATATCACATTTACCATAATTTATTTTGTCAACTGATGTATTTATTTTGTAAAGGTATCTTGGTGCTGCTGATTTTCTATATTTTTTGTAACATAATGCACTTTAGATATACATATCAAGTATTGATAAATGACACAATGAAGTGTCTCTATTTTGTGGTTGATTTTAATGAATGCCTAAAGATAATTATTCAAGCTGATTTTCCCCTGTGCATGTAAAAATAGCAGTATTTTAAATTTGTAAAGAATGCCTAATAAAATATAACCTAATTATATGATGACTCAGAGGGTATATTCTATTCTTGAGATTTTTCTACTAGAGAGAACTCAGCATAATTGATTTGTTAAAAAAATTTTTGAATACAGGCCTTAAGCATTTAAAATGGTACAGCTTCCAACATTTCTACACTAGCCGGGCGCTGGTGGCTCACGCCTGTAATCCTAGCTACTCAGGAGGCTGAGATCTGAGGATCGTGGTTCAAAGCCAGCCCGGGCAGGAAAGACCGTGAGACTCCTATCTCCAATAAACCACCAGAAAAACCGGAAGTGGCGCTGTAGTTCAAGTGGTAGAGCGCTCGCCTTGAGCTGAAGAGCTGAGGGACAGCGCCCAGGCCCAGAGTTCAAGCCCCACGGCCGACAAAAAAAAAAAAAACAAAAACATTTCTACATTAGCTTGTAGTTAGCAATTATTTAAAATACATTATGTCTAGCCAGGCACTGGTAATTCACACCTGTAATCCTACTTACTCAGGAGGCTGAGACCTGATCATCACAGTTCAAAGACATCCCAGGCAGGAAAATCTGTGAGACTCTTATCTCCAGTTAACCAGGAAAAAAAAAGTAGGAGCCGTGGCTCAAGTGGTAGAGTACTAGCCTTGCACAAAATGCTCAGAAACAGCTCCAAGGCCCTGAGTTCAAGCTCCAGGATTGGCACCAATAAATAAATAATTAAGAAACAACCTGAAAAAATAATAAAATAATAATAAAGGGCTAGAAGCATGTGTTAAATGATAGAGCAAGGATGAGACCCGAGTTCAAATCCCACTGTTGTCAAAGGAAAAAAATTAATTTGCTAACCCACCACTTCAATTTTTTTCCTGACAGAAGTCTAGTATCCAATGAAACACTGAATGTATTTATAGCTGTGGTCTAGCCAGTCCCCAAAACACAGCTCTGGGGAAGCCATAGTCTTTGTACCACACTCTTGGTCATCATTATAAATCAAACACAGGGGCTGGGGAGGTGGCTCAGTGGTAGAGCGTTTGCCTTGCATGCATGAGGCCCTGGGTTCGATTCCCCAGCACCACATAAGCAAAAAGAAAAAAGCCGGAAGTGGAGCTGTGGCTCAAGTGGTAGAGCGCTAGCCTTGAGCTAAAAGAGCTAAGGGACAGCGCCCAGGCCCAAAGTTCAGGCCCCACAACCGGACCCCCTCAAAAAAATAAATAAAATAAAACAAACACACTGTAGATTATTGCTTGGAGCACAGGTAATATATTCAGAGCAGCATTAAGTGATGAATCAGAACTGACACTTATACTATTGTTGATGAAAGTTAATATCAATGTCTTAAAAATTCATTTGGAAGCCTGGCATTGGTAGCTCACACCTGTAAGCCTAGCTACTCAGGAGGCTGAGATCTGAGGATCATGGTTCAAAGCCATCCGGGGCAGAAAAGTCCGTGGGACTCTAATCTCCAATAAAATATTCAGAAAAGGCCAGGAGTGGTGCTGTGGCTCAAATGGTAGAGCTTTGAACACAAAGAGGCTCAAGGGCAGTGCCCAGGCCCTGAGTTCAAGTCCCACGACCAGCAAAAATGGCTTCAGACCATGATCCTCCAGTCTCACTCTCCTGACTAACTAGGATTACAGGTGTGAGCCACCAGCTCCTGGCTTCAAATTGTCTTTTAATTCAACTTCAAAACATCTTCCAAAGACTTTTCTCACATTGCCATCCAAACTCAAAGACATTTGCAAATGAGAATAAATACAAAAATGTCACTCCTGACTAATGAGCTGTGCTTCATGGTGACTCCGACTCCTAGCTCAAAACACTCTGCTTTAGGAGCTAAAAAAATTAATAATTCATCTACCTTTCATAAAATAAGGTAAGTGATGGGCGCAGTGCGTGGGCTTGTCATTGAGAAGCCACTAGAAAGGGGTTCTGGGCTCCACATTCTACCAAATAAATGCCAAATGATAACAAACCGTGCCATGCCAGATTTAGCAATACTGCATTCTCATTTCTCTTCCTTTCACTTATCCTGAGTAAAGGATAAAGCAGGTACCAGTGGCTCACGCCTGTCATCCTAGCTACTCAGGAGGTTCCAAGCCAGCCTGGGCAGGAAAATCTGTGAGACTCTGATCTCCAATTGACCAGTTTAAAAAAAAAAAAAAAAAGGTGGAAGTGGAGCTGGGGCTCCATCAGAAGAATGTCAGCCTTGAGTGGAAAAGCTAAGCTAGAGTCAGAGGCCCTGAGTTCAAGTCCTAATACCAGCATACCCATCCCCCCCCACACACACACATCTTTTAGACAGCACAGTTTCTGTCCTACTTTTCAATGAATTCAAGAAAATCAGAGCTCTGGGCATCCTATTGTGCTTCAGCCTATCCTACCCTGGGGGAAGGGGGCAGCATCCCTCTGACAGTTGTCTACTAAAGCCAGCCATGGCCTTAGAGTCCACAAAGTTCTTGAAATTCTCTCCCTTGCCTACTCCCCCCTCCCATTCCTCTCCTCTCTGTCTCTCTCTTTGTGTTTCTCTATTCCGAATGTCTCTGTGTCTGCTTCTTTCTCTATTTCCTTCCTGTGTCCTCTCTCTCTCCATCTCTGTCCCTCTGTGTCCGTGTCTATGTCTCTCTTTATCTATGTCTCTCCTTTGTCTCTGTCTCTCTCTGGGCCTCTCTATCTCTGTCTCTATTTCTCTCTGTGTGTCTATTTGTCTCTGTCTCTCCGTGTCTCTCTGTGTTTCAGTCCGTTTCTCTTTCTTTCTCTCTTTCTCTGTCTGTCTCTGTCCCTGTCTCTGTGTTTCTGTCCCTATCTCTATTTCTCTGTCTCTGTCTATGTTTCTATTCGTCTATTTGTCTCTCCCTATTTCTCTATCTCTCTTACACACACACACACACACACACACACACACACGCACACACACACGCACGGAGCCCAGGTGTTTGCATGGCCATGAAGGAGCAGCTGTTGCCGGTGGGGTGGGGTGGGGCAGGCGGCAGCTGTGGCTGGCAGGCAGAATGTAAACCTATACAGAGAGCCACTTTCTGTAAGGAAAAGCGGGACCACCCCGGAGATGAAATCCCCCCTCTACTTACCTCTCAACCTGCTCCAAAACTCCAACATTCAAATTTTCCAAGTCCTGCCCACCCCCCTTCCTGAGGAAAGTGCTCTCTCTCGCTCGCTCTCTGCTTCTCTGCATGTACACTTGGCCTGCTGCGGAGCCATTTTCCTCCCTCATTAAAGCAGTCATAAATGATTAGAGGATTGCATGATTATCCCCGGCTACCTGATGTACGTGCCCACTGCCCACATGGGCCACCTATGTGGCCCACCCCAGCCTTGACAAGGTTTTCCAGCTCTGGAGAGGCATTTGAGTGACTTTTTTCTTTTGTAAATCATGTGGAAAGCCTGTGCTGGTGGCTCACACCTGTAATCCTCACTACTCAAGAGGCTGAGACCTGAGGATCGTGATTCAAGGCCAACCTGGGCAGAAAAGATTCTTATCTCCAATTAGTCAGCAGCAACGAGGGAACAGGGCTGTGGCTCAAGTTGGTAGAGAGTCAGTCTTGAGCAGAAATAGCCTTGTATATTTCCAAACATTATTTCTTATTGAGTTAAGATATTAGAGAGTTAGCCCAGAAACAACATACTATCCAGGAAGCATATTTTTCTTTGTGTGTGTGTGTGTGTGTGTGTGCCAGTACTTGTGTGTGTGTGTGTGTGCCAGTACGTGTGTGTGCCAGTACTTGTGTGTGTGTGTGTGTGCCAGTACGTGTGTGTGTGTGCGCCAGTACTTGTGTGTGTGTGCGTGTGTGTGTACGTGTGTGTGCCAGTACTGGGACTCAAATTCAGAGCCTCACACTCTCACTTGGCTTTTTCATTCAAGGGAGGTGCTCTACCACTTCAGTCACACCTCCACTTCCACGTTTTTCCTGGAAGATAAGAATCTCTTGCAATTCTTCCCATGCTGGCTTTGAACTGTGATCCTCAGATCTCAGCTCCTGAGTAGCTGGGATTAGAGGCGTGAGCCACCAGCCCCATATAGGTGGTGTTTTTCTTCCAAGGCAGTAGCCCACCCTTCAGGAAATCCTTTCTCATTGGCTGGGAGCGATGGGATCCCCAGAAAAGCCATGCCCCGTCTAATTCAGTCAGAGGAAGTTTCATTCGCTTGCATTTAACACTGCATCATGCTTAATGCAATTTCTTGTTTCTATAATCTTTTGCTTTTGATTGTTTGCTGAAGATATAATGTAGGTTACTGTCATTATAATGGCAACCACAATAATATTCTACATATGTGTTTACATGTTGAATATGACTGTTGCCAGCTAGTAAAATGACATCTCAGTAGCAATATGTAAAAAAAATTCCTCATATGCTGTGTTCAAGAAATCTGGGGGAGGGAGTGCATGTGTGTGCCAACACTGAGATTTGTTTTGTTTTGTTTTGTATTGTATTGGGTCCGGTCATGGGGCCTGAACTCTGGGCGTGGGCGCTGTCCCTCAGCTCTTCAGCTCAAGGCTAGCACTCTACCACTTGAGCCACAGCGCCACTTCCGGGTTTTTTCTTTTTTGCTTATGTGGTGCTGAGGAATGGAACCCAGGGCCTCAGGCATGCAAGGCAAGCGCTCTACCATTGAGCCAACTTCCCAGCCCCCAACACTGAGATTTGAACTCAAAACCCTTTGCTCTCCTTCAGCTTTTTCACTC